TCTAACTCTCTGTAACATCATAATACTCTCTAGTTTTATAAGGTGGGAAATTTGTGGTAATTTCAACCTATCCCAACCAGTTGCTCTTTTCATGTGGAGTAATTCTATCTTCCTAATCTATCTACTGCAAGAACTAATCAGCATGTGTAGAATAATCTTTTATTCATGCTGTCACTCTCCCAGACACTTGTCAACAAAGTTCACCTACATCTTTCTATTGCCCTTTGTATTTTTTTTCTTGGGCCACGTGGCCCCTGCCTCCCCATTACTGCCACATCACTGTTGCTGTGACTGATCCCATCTGCTTAGCAGTGGTTCATACATATGCTCAACTATTGGCTCTACATTGCGTTTCAACCATCCTGAGTTCAAATGTCAGATCTACACCATCTTCAGAGTAGAAAGCTTGAAGTCTCTAGTAGAACTGATAATCTCATAGTAAGCCCCTATATGAGCAGAGTAATTCATCAGGGCAATCCAACTATTGTACACTTCTCCTATCATATCTATTCTCTCTTCCATATCCCCATGGCACCTTATCTACCCACCCCACTCCTTCCTTTAGATGGTCTCCAACATTCAGTATAGTCCCTCCTTTACAAGAAAAAGAGATAATTAGCAAGGGCTTTCACTGTGCTGAGTTCTTTATAAGTGCTCTTACTCTATCCTCACAGAAATTCAATGAGGTAGTACAATTATGTTCCTCATTTCTCTGATGAGGAAACTGAGACTGAAATTCTGTAATTTCCTGATAAGTAGCAGATCTTAACCTTGAACTCAGAACTATGTAACAAAAAAAATTGTGAGTATTCCTGTATGTGGGTATGCATAGAGGCCAGAAGTCAGGTTCCTTGGGAGTCATTCACATCTTCACCTTGGTTTTTGAGGAAAGGTTTCTGTGTCCCAAGGGGCACTTGTTCCTCCGAGGGATGGGGCCTGCTGCAGAGCGGTAGCTGTGGAGGGAGGAGCACTGCGCCATCTTGGCAACAGCAGCGTGTAAAAAATGGCCCCAGTGTCTTGCAGGCATGGATCCGAAAGGGGGCATTTACCGACTTGGGGCAAGTCCACCGGCCCATGAGGCATGGATGAAAGCTAATGGAGACTGTGGGTGGGCTGTGGAGGGAGGCAATCTGGAATGGCAGGCCCCGAGCTACAGAGTTGGAACAGGCGCAGGGTGTTCACCTTTGTAAGTTACTCTACTTCCCCTACCTTGGATATAAACTATGAAAAATTCAGATAAAGATGTGTTATATGGTTTATCTAATAGTGCCAGGAGCAAGGCACCCTCAGAGAACTCCAGCGACATTTCTCACTGGGACATGGGGTTCACCAATTAGACTGGACTAGAGACCAACAATCCCAAAGGATCCTCTTGTCTCTGCCTGCTGGTGCTGGAATTTTAAGTACAAACTATCACTCCTAGTTTTTTGTTTGTTTGTTTGTTTTGGTCATTTTGAGACAGGGTCTTCCATTCGCCCCAGCTGGCCTAGAACTCACTAGGTAGACCATGCTGGCCTTGAACTCACAGAGACCCACCTGCCTCTGCTTCCCAGAGTACTGAGGATTAAAGGCATGCTCCACCATGCCTGGCTCACTCCTAGCTTTTTACATGCTTGTTGGGGATTGAACTTGGATCCTCATGCTTGTGCAGCAAGCAGTTGACTGAGCTATCTCTCCAACCCGAAAGACCATGTAGCCTCATGGTCATTAATAAAACCAGGTATGGCAGCTTATACTTGTAATCCCAGCACTCAGGAGGTTGAGGCAGAGGGAGTGTTACAAGTTTGAGGGGAGCCTAGACAACACAGTAAGTTCCAAGTCAGCCTGAGCTATAGTGTAAGACCCTTTCTCTATCTTCATAACCCCCAATAAAGTTCCTTAAACAGTTATTAATCTCTCAGACTTTGCACAGCTGTTCCCTGTTCACAAAGGTTCTACCCCTTTTCTGGCTGATAAATACCTACTCAGTCTTCAAAACCAAACTGACTGCTCTGGGCCTACTTTGGAGGTTTCTCCTTCATTGTTCAACAGTGGTAATTACTTACCAGCTCGTTCTATCCTATAGTAGCTAAAAGCACCCTCCTAAATATTGATTTTGCTCCTTTCTCTTATTAGACTATGGGGTCTTGGAAGTATAGATGTTTTACTTGTGCCTAGTACATTGTATTAAACCCCAAATTAAACCAACGCATACATGTATTGTCCCTTAATAATATACATCTGAAAGCAATATTCCCTTCACTGCTGTTTAATAGAAGGATGAAATAATTCAGCAGAATATAAATGGACATTTAACCTGAAATATTTGTACTTGTCAAACCATGCATTAGTTATTAGGCTTCTTCACTGGTTTGTTTTCAAGACAAGGTCTTCCAGTAGCCTTGTCTGGAGCTTGTTATGTGGACCAGGCTGGCCTCAATCTCACAGAGATCTATCTGCTCTTATTTACTGTTTAAATATGAGATTATGCATTTTGGATTGAAATACATATTCATAGCTCTCTAGGAACACAATAAGTGTACCAGGTCTGGTTTTCTCCTTCACTTGTTATACAAGTCAGTTATAGATAACTAGACACAACGGTGTAATTCCAGCTCCTGAGAGCTGAGGCAGGAGGCTCACTTACTTGAGCCCAGGAGTTCAAGGGCAGCCTGACAATATAGCAAGATGGCACTAAAAAAAAAGGGGGGGGGGGGCAGGGACGGGTGTTGGAAAGCAAGTAAAAACAACAGGAAATGGCAGAAGTAGAAGAGAGCAGTGCTGGCCCCTCTAATCAGAGGCAGAGGGTCTGACAGCCTTCAGAGTTCCTCAAGTGCTTCAGTAAAGCACCACAAGGCAGGTTAAAAGAAACTGTTATACATATGAGGTGGCAGTGGTGGAATGATTCTGTCTCTAAGTGCCAGCCAGTTAACTTCTGGATTTTCTCCCCACATGCCAATTTATATTGTAATAAAAAAAGTTCTTAGTCAAGCATCAGTGGTGCATGCCTTTAATCCTAGCACCTGGGAGGCAGAGGAAAGCAAAACAAGGCCAGCTTGGTCTACATAGTGAGTTCCAGGCCAGCAGGGAGCTACAAAGTGAGACCCTGTCTCAAAAAAAAAAAAAAAAAAAAAAAAAAAGGTTCTTAAGTTACCTCTAAGTTTTCAGTTATTTTCTCTTACTAAGTACAATATTGGTCTTAGTATTTTCTCATTCTGTGTGTGGATGGTATCAAGTATATGTGAAGTTGTGTTTGGTCTCCTTATCCTCATCTGTCTCACATTCTCTTTTATTTGTAATAGATCTAGAGTATATAACTATATTTTAAAGTGTGGATCTAGAAACTTCTGAAATCAACTTGGTAGCTAATAACTAGCTTTTAAGTAAGTAAATAGTATAAATGAAAAACAAAAACTTCTGAAAACATTATATATAGCAATAGTGAGTATTGTTAGGATAAATTTTCTGTCTTGTGTGTGTAATGGTTTGTAATGGATTTTCTTCCCTAGGGGTCTCCATCAAAAACATTAGAAAGTCACAGGAATACTTGTAAACAAGAAAATATTCAGTATCTACATCTGAGAATCACTGAAATCTTTACCACTCAAGGAATTAGAATGTTTCTTCTTAAGAAACAAAGCCCAGTTACATAAAAACACCTAATCCTGTACTGAGCATCTAAATTTACTTCAGAAAAGTCAGTCCACTGAGTCAGTAATTTGTAAGTTTAAAAAAAAATGACTTCTTTCATATGATTGTGAGGGTTTATCTCAAACAAAGCAAAATAAATAAGTAAATAAATAAATAAATGTGGAATATGGAACCAAGAGCAAATGGTGACTAATGTATATACTACAATGAATTTACTCCAGGTTTCCCATATAATCCCAATTCAGTTATTATCCCCCAAAGACTATCTTACATTTAACACCTGATAATGAAAATTAAAAGCTTAGTACAGGGGACTGGAGAGATAGGATTAAGAGCATGTACTGCTCTTCCAGAGGACCCAAGATTGGTTCCCAACAACCAGGTCAGGCAGCTAACAACCACCTGTAACTCTAGCTCTTGGGAGATTTGACACCTCTGGCTTCCTCAGGCACCTGCATTAATGTGTACATACCTACCCCACACACATACATACATAATTAAAAATAAAAATAAAGTGAAATTTAAATTTGGCATAGAATTGATGATATGACTCAATGGGTAAAGGCACTAGGTACCAAGTCTGACAACCTAAGTTTGATCCCTGGGACCCATATGTAGAGGGAGAGAGCCAATTTACACGCTGTCTGTGCTGGATAGCTTCGGTGTCAACTTCACACACCTGGGTTGGGGAGCCTCAATTGGGGAATTGCCTTCATTGGACTCGCCTGTGGCCATGTTCATGGGGCATCTTCTTGATTGTTGAGTGATGTGGGGGGTCCCAGCCCACTGTGGGTGGTGCCACTCCTGGGGCAGGTGGGCCTTTGTTGCATAAGAAAGCAGGCTGAGCAGGGGCCAGGGGAGCAAGCCAGTAAGTAGCATTCCTCCATCGGCTGTGCTCCAGCTCCTGCCTCCAGGTTCCTGCCCTGAGTTCCTACCTTGGGCTCCCTGATGAACTGTGACCTGGGAGATGTAAGCTGAATAAACCCTTTCTTCCCTAATTGGTACTGGTCAGAGTATTTTGTCACAGCAATGAAGAACAAACTAGGACACTGTCCTCTGACCTCTACAAGTTCCACTCCACACAAAAATAAATAAATAATGTAATTTTTAAAAATTTTGTAGAGAAGCTGGGGAGATGGCTCAGTAGTTAAGAGTACTTGCTGCTCTTGCAGAGTGATCCAGGGTCAGTTCCCAGCATCTACATGGCAGCTAACAACCACCTGTAATTCCAGTCCCAGGTGATCCAATGCCCTCTTCTGGCCTCCCTGGGCCATGTATGCATGTGGTGCACTTCATACATGTAGGCAAAACACTTATACACATAAAATAAAATAAATAAACAAATAAATAAATAAAAAATAAATTCTGGCATTTGTTGAAAATCACCCCTGGCTTTGGTTGTGGCCAGGACTGAGATTTTGTGCCCAGAACTACCAGGGGCCTCAGTTAACACCTACTGCCCCAGTGTGGGAGGGTCAAATCCCCAACAGGCATGAGAAAAAAGTAAGATAAAAAAATTGGAATACAAAACAATCTTCTATGCCTTTTTCATATTCTACAGTTTTTGATATCAGGGACCAAAATTCTATATCAAATAAAATGAGGCTGGAGAGATGGCTCAATGGTTAAGAGCACAGGCTGCTCTTGCAGCGGACCCAGGTTCCATTCCCAGCACCCACATAATGGCTCATAATCATCTGTAACTCCAGCTCCAGGGGATCCAATGTCATCTTCTGCCCTGTAAGGGCACCTGCATGCATGTGGTATACATATACTCTGTAAGCACACACACACACCATAAATAAAAATAAATATTAAAAAATATACATATACATGTAAAGTACTTATAAATGGAAGAGTGTTTCCTGATAAGCACATCAAAATTTAGTTATGCAGTCATTCATATTTTCACTTTTTTTCATTCTTCCTGCACCCCCCCCAACACATGAACACAATGTCTATTCTTATAAGTGTGAGATGCTCCCTGTGACTCAGTAGCTGTTTATCTCTTCAGCCTTCTCTGTTCTCTCCACTTACACTCTGCCATTTCACTTCTGCTGGACTTTTCAACTTGCTTGTCTTTGTGGTGCTGGGGATCAAAGCCAGGGTGGTGAACATGATAGCAGGCACCCTATTACTAAGCTACATTCACAGCCCACATCGCTATTTTTGTTTCTTCTCCCTTTTCACCTGGAAAACTCCTGTGAATTTTTGAGGAGTCAGCTCAGATAATTTGGGGATCTTGGCAGAATCATCACAAAGAAATGGAAAAATTCTGAATTCTTTGGTAAGTTTTTAGAATGAAATATTATAAACTTAATAGCTAAATGAAATGTAAATATCCAGAACAATAGACTTTTTTGGGAGGAGAGTCTTTTTTTGAGACAGGGTCTCAAAATATCCAGAACAATAGACTTTTTTGGGAGGAGAGTCTTTTTTTGAGACAGGGTCTCAAAATATCCAGAACAATAGACTTTTTTGGGAGGAGAGTCTTTTTTTGAGACAGGGTCTCCCTGTAGCCCCAGCTGGCCTGGAATTTGCTATGTAGACCAGGCTGGCTTTGAACTCACAGGGATCTGCTTGCCTCTGCCTCCCAAGTGCTGGGATTAAAGGTGTTTGCCACCAAGCCCAGCTCAATAGACTTACTTAGGCTATATATTGTCATTTAACTTGTTAGGTTGGGTAGCAATAAGCTTTACAAAATGTTCATAATTATAAAAATAGAAACTGTGTATATTTTAATAAAGCTATGTAACAGACCGAATGTCTTTGTTAATAAATACTTTCCAGAAGTACATGATGGTTTTCTTTTGCTTCTTTTTTCTTTTATTTGAGTTTTTATTTAGTTATTAATATTTTTATTTTATATGTATGAGTATGTTGCCTGCATGTGCTTAAGTGCACCCGTGTCCTGCAATGCCTCAGAGGTCAGAAGAGGGTAGAATCCCTGGAGCTGAAGTTATGAACGGTTGTCAGTCGCCATGTGGGTGCTGAGAGTCAAACCTGGGTCCTCTGCAAGGGCAGCAAGTGCTCTTAACCACTGAGCCATCTCTCCAGCCCCCATCTGAGTTTTTAAACTGCATATAGCAAACAGCATGGAAGTGGAGAGCATAATGTATGTGTGTGTGTTGTCTCACCTGGATCCCATCATCAACACCGACACATGCTTCCAATTCCACATCACCAATCCCTCTACTGGGTCCACTCAAATTTTTTCAGACAGTTTTATTCATAACTCTTTACTGTATATTTCTAAGCCACTATTTAAAAATAATCATAGTATTGTACAAAATTAAAACAAAACCATCAATATCATTAAATAACTAATTAGTAGACTAATTTCCCCCTGATTATGTTACTGATTTTTTTTTTTTATAGTTTACTCAGACCAGGACCTTTTTAAACAATGTTGAAACATTGCATCTGGTTCATAAAATCCTTAAGTCTTTTTGAACCAATCTATGGATTGACCCTCTATCTTTTTCATAATTTTCATGGTAATTTATTACTACTAAAACAAAACAAAACAAAAAACCTGCCGCATTGTGCTTTTAAGTTTCTTGTGCCTTAAAATGGTGAAGTGGGTTTTCATACTGATAAGGTTTAGCACTGCGATTATCTTCATTCTATTGATGCAATGAGCACCATTAAATATAATGAAGGAGTGGACACACCAACTAAGGAAAATTGTCTTAAGAGGTATGGATCACTGCCTTCACTCACTAGCAAGGATAATGATGAAATCTACAGAGAACAATAAACACTTGTAACAACATATTTTTCTATTATGCTAGAACACATACACTAAGACTATAAGAAAGCAGAAAAAAAAAAAAAAAAGTTTACAAAGATTGAAAAGCTATTTGAAGCCGGGCGTGGTGGCACACGCTTGAAGTCCCAGCACTTGGGAGGCAGAGGCAGGTGGATCTCTGAGTTCAAGGCCCACCTGGTCTACATAGTGAGTTCAGGCCAGCTGGGGCTTCAGGGGGACCTAGATAGCTTAATTTATAAGGATGTTAAGGCCCACTGAAAGAAATGTTTTCCTTCAAAGAGACTGAACTGCATATATGTAAATGTAGCTAGTCTCACCTAACAGTCATACACATAGACACAAACAAAGCAAAGTGGTATTTGGCGTTGTGAAACTCTTCTCAACCTCACTACACATGAGAACATTAGTCTGGCATTTAAAATGTACTGCTGATATACAACAGTGTGTAAATAAACCACCAAAAACCTGTAGCTCTTGCTTTAGCCTGTAACATGAAGTTAATAGCCATACTTCTATTACTTCACAGGAAGCTATACCTCCCTTACTATGAAATATAGCTATTGTTAAAGGAGGAAGAAGAGCCACAGTGTAGTGTGCAAGGGACCACCTACCATGGACCTGGGCTTGCTGATGGCCACCAGACTAGTGAGGAAGTCTTCATCATGCAGCTGGCTGAAAACATGGGCGTCATAGGCTACCATAATGGAGATTTCTTCCATCATCTTGCTAGCTGACTTCTCCACAGCAGTGGCTACTGCCCCAGCTCCAGACCAGACTATCCAAGGAAAAAGATCCTATGGCAGCTCAGTGCCAGTGCACACGCCCATGTGAGTTCAGAGGGCTGAGTGTCAAAAATCCAGAAAGAAAAAAGGAGAAAAAAAAAGCAGCTGCTATCACAGGCTTGTCTAGCAATTCACCCCATGTAGAAAGCCAAAGGAGGTCTCTTATCTATTCAGGAAGTATATACTATAAACACCTTCTGCATTCTTATCACAGCTGATGGAGCTATTCAAGTTCTGGAAATCTTTAAACTTCAAAAAACAGAACTAAAGAAGTTTCCTAAGTAGAAATATCCTGTATGAAACTCCCTCTAAAATTAAATTTGATTTAGGCTATGTTCTTGGTAATTAAAAACTATTGTAATAGTTTATCTTCTTATTTCAGTGTTATTTATATGAAGATTCTTCATAGAAGAAAAGTAGACTTTCTTAAAGCATTTAGTGCTTTTTTTCTTATTCGTAGAAAATAAAAAGTGACAACCATTTTTATTTCTCAGAATTCACAGAATTCTTGATGCAGTTAACATTTATCTCCTGAAGCATGAAGGGAAAAAAAAATCTTTTTTCCCTCTGAATATTTCTGTTAAAGAAGGAGGAGGAGGAGGAGGAGGAGGAGGGTGAGGAGGAGGAGGGTGAGGGTGAGGAGGGTGAGGGTGAGGAGCGTGAGGGTGAGGGAGGAGGAGGAGGGTGATGGGGGAGGAGGGAGGAGGAGGAAGAGAAAGAAGAAGAAGAAGAACCAAAATATAAAAATGAAACAATTCATTTGGGACAGCAATACAAGTTAGAAATAATTTCCCTTTCTCCCACTAAAAAATGTGAAGTTTCTGTGATTTTCAAAGCAACACAAGGGCCTCATTTACAAAATTGTTTTCTTCCCTTGATAAATATTCTCATCTTTTATATTTAACATTAGAAATTTCTTTTAATTATTCAAACCAGCAGGTAGTCACAAACTGTTCATACCTTCGTTCTACAAGTAGTCTTTAAAGGACAGCTGGCAATGGTAAACTGGCTTTCATGTCTCAAGATGAAAAGTTTGAAAGCTGCCTACAATTATCACTGCAAGGTTTCTTTAATTGCCAAGATATATAATGCATGCTAATTCCACACAGAGTGGTTAACAATTCAAATGGGGAAGACAGATATAGTTCCTCTAAAAGTACCTTATCCAACATTCCTAATATCTGCCCTGTGTATTGATAATACAATACTGTCAGAAATATTTTTATTAGTACTATATATCAATCTAGTAATGTGTATTTAAAATTAAAAGGAAAAAATATTACTGGTTGGAGTCATAAGGCTTCATTACCAATACCAGGATTATGCTGTCTAAATTTGCTTGCTTGTCAGAAAATGGGTAAACAAAACTCAGAATAAGAACAAGTGTCTATTTTTCCAGGTTTTCTTAAAAATAAATTCATTTTCCATAGATTAGCATGATTACTCAACTAGTACCCTGTGTATTTAAATGTGACTAGGAGAGTTTTGCAACTTCTATAAGCATTCTAGATTAAAAGCACTTGCACACAGAAGGGCGAACACTTCCCTTGCTAGGAAATAACCAAGTCTAATAGGCTTACTTAAACAAAAAATGCAGTATTTCAATTAATTCTCAGGATTAAAATAGCTTCAAGCTATGCTTGACCCTCACTGAAGCTAATAAAGCATTTCTATATCATTCTGCCCAACAAAGCAGCTTTGTGTTCAGAGCATTGTTGTCATTAACACTTTTTTCCCAGCACATTTCCCTTAAAGATGACTAACCAAGTAAAACTTAAAATGATAATCAGGAGTCAAGTCATAAATTAACTATCCAGGCAGTTCATACCTTTTAAGTTCTTTTTATCTTTTCAGTAGTATATTTAAAAGATATTGTGAACCTCTTCATACATTCATTAGCGCCAGAAAACTTCAAACTTATCCTGCAGCTCGGCTTTC